CGCCCACGAGGATCTTGGTTGATTTGGAAACTCGTATTCTTGCCTTCCAAATTCTCCTGCTCCGGGTCCGGATGTTTCTGGTAGACTGTAGTCTCTTACTTTCACCTGGTCTCCAATCCTGAACGGGCGCCATTTATGTGTATTGTGTCTCACGTCATATCTTTGCTTATTTCGACGTTGTCTTTCTCTTGTCCGTTCAAGCACACGGTGTTCCAAGTGTTGTTCATGCGGCAATAATTACCCCTCTCTGTCTCTGGAGACGCAGACATTCAACAGAATCCTTGGCTCCCTCCCGTATGTCAGCTCAAATGGGAAACTCTCGGTTGTTGCATGCTTCGTTGTTCGATATCCAAACAAAACATCCGGTAGTCCCTCTTTTCAGTTATTACCTCTACTTTTCAGCCATTCCTTCATTGTGCGATTGAATCGCTCCGTCAACCCGTTCGTTTGTGGATGGTACGGCGATGTTCTCAGGCGCTGAATCCCCCAATTCCTCACCATCTCCTGAAATTGCCGCCCCTCAAAACATGGGCCCTGGTCCGTGATAACTCTGTACGGTATTCCAAAGTGAGCCAGGACGTTTTTCATGAAAGCGTTTGCAACCGTTCCGCTCGTCTGATATGCCGTGGGAATGGCCTTCACGGATCGTGTGAAATGGTCAATCATAACAACTATGTAGCAATTTCCATTCGAACTTGCTGGGAGTGGGCCAAAAATGTCTATATCCCAGGTGTGCGCGGCCTCCTTTGGTACGATCGATTGCATGGGCGGTTTGGTCGTCATTGTCTCTCGGTTCTGTTGGCAGTTGGGGCACGCACGAATGTAATCAATCATATCTTTCCGCATCGTGGGCCAAAATATCCTCCGCCGCAGTAGTTCGAACACACGTTCTCGTCCCATGAGAAGATCTGTGTGCGCCAGCTGAATTACACGTTCCCTCTGGTTCACTGGGATAAGTGACTAGTTGACCGTTCTCCAGGTGTAGCCGGTCCCAGATCTGTAACATTTCGTTCATTCCTGAAGTCAACGTCTTGGGTTTGGTACCTGCCAGCAGATGTTCCCATACTTTGTGTACTTGAGTGACTTGTTGCTGATTGGCCGAGATGTCTTTATCGGCAACCAGTACTGTGTTCACGGATATGGCTTCAGTTGGCAGCTCACTTTCCTGTATCGGTCGTGACAGTGCATCAGGTACCTCATTGTCCGTGCCGTTTACATGTCCGATGGTAATCGAAGTGTGCAGCGTGCCAGTCGGCCACGTGGATCCTTCGCCGTCTTCAGCCAGATCAGGGGTCTGTGGTCGGTCTCAGCATAAAAGGTGGTCGCTATCAGATAGATCCTCCACTTCTCCAGCGCCCAGACGATCGCTAGACATTCTTTCCCCGTAGTGGAATATTTTTTCTGTGCTTCCGTCAGTATTCGGCTGGCATATTCGATTGTTCCCGATGGTTGTGGAAGATCTGCCCCGGTTCCGATATCACTTGCGTCAACTGATACCGTGAAAGGTTCATTCGGTTTGGGGATCGTCAGGCACTGTCGAGTACTGGCAGCCTCCTGTTTGAGTTCCTTGAACGCCACCTTCAAGTCCTCAGTCCATACACATTTCCTGTTCTTTCTCAGCAATTGGAACAGTGGATATGCTTTCTGAGAGAACCCTGGCGTAAATTTTGAATCGTAACCGACCACTCCGAGGAAACACCTCAGTTGCCGCTTCGATTTTGGTGTTGAGAAGTTCTTGATGGCTATCAACTTCTCTGGCAGATTTTTCCATTACCAACAGTGTATCCCAAACAGACGATTGAACTGCGGCCTATTTGGCACTTCTAACTACTCAGTTTTAGGCCGGCTGCATCGATTCGTTGCAACACTGCTCGAAGCCTGTCAACGTGTTCCGACACCGACTTGGAGAATACAACGATGTCATCTTCGTATACAGTTACTCCCTCTTGATCCTCCAGAATGCGAAGCATGAGACGTCTGAAGGTCGCTGGAGCATTGCACAAACCAAACGGCATCCTAAGGAACGCGTACTGGTGTCCGTTCACATAAAACGCAGTCTTCGCTCTGTCCTTCTGTGCCATTGGTAGTTGCCAGTTGCTGGATCGCAAACCAATGAGGGATAGTATTTTAGCTTCATGCAGTTGTGCAAAAATCTCCTCCATCTGAGGCATCGGCAACGCATCTTTGATCGTCACTCGGTTCAGGTCTCTGAAGTCGACACAAAATCGGTGGGTTCCGTCCGACGAAAACGGGCTGCTTGTCCTTTGGATTATCCCTTTCTCCAACATCTCCTTTAACTTCCTTTCCACTTCCGGAATTAACTTGAATGGTATCCGCCGATGTACTGGTTTGCATTCCTCGCCCGGCTTTATGTCTATCGCGTGTCCTATCCGCGTACAGAATCCGTAATCATCCGCGTTAGTAAACAAGTCACAGAACCCATTAACACATTGCTGGATGGCTGGGATAGGACACTCTGGCAGAGGTTTCACCGAGACTCCGTCATTCGGCACTGATCCTTGGTCTCTTCACGACATCGCCATCAACACGCAACTCGTTCCTCTTCAGGTCTACGCTTGTTTTCAATCGACGTAGCAGATCAACAACTATTATCGTCTATTTCACATCGTCAATCACTAACGTTGCGTGGCGTAACCTGACACAACCTATCTGGATCTCAACGTTCTGAGTCCCCAGCACCTTTAACGCCGTCCCACCGACCGTAATTATATGCCAATTACCGGACCTTACGGGCAATCCTGGTACTCTGTCTGTAATCGACGCACCCGTCCCTGTATCTACTATCGCACTCTTTTGCTCTCCCTCGATCCGAACCTTTACCCGTGGAAAGCCCCTATGATAACCCCTTACCACCGAAAAACAAGGATGAAGACATCTGTTAAGGCAAATTGTCCCACCTCATTGCAAACAAAATAATGAGTGCGGTGAAGTTGTCCACGTGCTCATCTAACTTGTCCTCCTCTTGGTTCCATGTTCATCTTTAAACCTTCCACTGTCTTCGTCAGCTG